GACTACTTCAGCTTGCACCAGTATTGAGAGGCCATTGGTGTTCATGTGCCCAAGTTTATTGTGCCATAAGTCGATTTTTGAGTCCCTTACTGACAAGCATTTGCTCGGTGGTTTCCAGAAGTAACAGTTGTTGTTTGATTGGAATCCACACATAACGAGATTCCCCTAAGGATCTTGACACTTTATGTTGTTGAAGATGACTTGCAACCCCCCATCACAAAGCTGACTGATGCTTATGAGATTAGATTTAAGTTCTTCTACAAAGTAGACATTCCTGAGTCCTGGAAGATCAGTTCTTTCCATATAGCCAACCCCACGGATTCTTCCTTCTCCACCATCACCAAATATTACTCTTCATTCTTTGACAGGTTTCATAACTTTCAAGAACTTCTCATTTCCTTTCATATACCTTGAGCAACCATTATCAAAGTACCACGGTATCTCAACAACAGTGTGTTCTTCTGTGGAAGTGAAAGCAACCTTGGCAAGACTTGGAACTTCATTAACATCCTCTTCAACATACTCTTCAATTATGGCCATATTGCACACAATTTCTTTTTCTGGTTTCTGGATATAGGCTTTTGTCTCACTTACTTTAGCAGATGTTGGTGCTCTATTTCTGAAGTTAGGATACAGATCTGTTTTGGCAATCCACACATATCCAATCCGGCTTGGTTCGATGTAGCTATTGTGAAGAGACCATGCTCGTTGGTACTGAACTCTTCGAAAGTAGCAGTAAGCAACCCTATGTCTTTGTTTGCCACATAAATGACAGCCATTGCGTCTAGATGGTACTTGTTTTCTCATAGTTTTCTCAGCAGATTTCTGGTGTACCACTCCTCTCTCTACCTCAGCATGAGTTTCCAGTGCTCCACTTCTGACAAACCTGACATCTGTGGCATCTTTGCTACTTGGATTCTGCATACCTTAATAGCCTAACCATAGGAAATTTTTGGATTCTGTCCGAGTGAGAGTATATGATCCAGAGTATCTGATCCATTGTTAAGCATCCTCATCTTCTTGTAATTGTCACTCAGTTCTCTTTGCACCAAATGACTCTTATCCAGTTCTTCATTTAGTAGCACCATGGCTTGATCATACTTAGTCTCCAAATTCTTCAAGGAGTGAGCTTGATCAATGATGGTCTTTTCTAGTAGTTGGACATCAACATTCTTCTCACTTTGAGAGATACCACCGGCAGTCTTACCTTCAGTGTTGGATTTTTCAAGCTCCAGAATATTGACTTGTTCCTTGAGCATTGCTTTGTCCTTGATCAACTGCAAGTTTTCAAGACTTAGCTCTGTAAACTTGTCAAAAAGACTCTTAAACTCTGTCTTTAGATCCAAATTCTTCTTCTTGTCTTCATGATCTGAATCTGAATCTGAACTTGAACAAATGTCTTGACTCTTGAGTATCATCTTGTTCCACATGAGCCACGAAATTAAGCATGAAATCTTCATCATCACTCTCACTTTCTGACTCGGTATCACTAAAAGATAAAAGTGCTTTGTCTTTCTTTAGGTTGTTAGGACACTCACTCCTTGTATGTCCATAGCCTTTACACTCGATACACTTAAGCTCCTTTCTCTTGGCTAGAGGGCATTCATTCTGAAAGTGTCCAAATCCTTCACACTCATGACACTTCAGATCTTTCTTACGATTATCTCTTCCAACTTCATTTCCGTTTTGTTTTGCAGATGAGCGATCTCCTTCTCTCCCTTGAAACCGGTTGTTGTTGCGGTAGTTTCCCTTTTCACTCTTTTGATCATCTTTTTGAAGTTCTTAGCCATGAGACTCATATTCTCTTCGATACGCTTCATTCTGTCCTCTTATTTGGTTTCTGCTGTGAAGGCAATTCCTTTCTGTCCCTTGGTGGTTTCTTCACTTTGTTCCAGATCATGTACCTTCAGAATTCCAGTCAACTGATCAAACTTCATCTCGTACGTAGTCACAGCAATCTTAAGCACCGCATTGTATGCTTCAAACCTAGGAGGAAGACATCGCAAAATTTCTTCACAAGTTTCTTCTCATTATATTTTTTGCCGAGAACTAAAGCTTCATTCGCTATTGAGCTGATCTTGGAGATGAAACTTCCAATTGACTCATCATCCTCCATTCTCAGGTTCTCGAATCTTGAGGCAAGATGATCGATTTGGTCCTTCTCACACTAGTGTTCCCTTCAAAGTGATTGATTAGAGTATCCCAAGCTTCTTTAGCAGATTCACACCCTTGGATGATTTTAAACTGATCGAGATCAACAGCAGAGAAGATGGTAGTGAGCGCCTTTGAGTTAAATTTTGAAGCACCTTTATCAGAGTCAGTCCATCTTTCTTTTGGCATGGGTGCTACAGACTTGTCTTCCATCACCATCGTAGGTGCAGTCCACCCCTGTTCAACCGCAGTCCAAGCAACCTCATCAATAGCTCGTATGATGTGCCGCATTCTCGCCTTCCAGTGTCTTAAGTTTCCTTCGACAAGCATGATTGGTTTTTGCAAAGCCACCAGTTCTTTCATGGTCTCCATGATTGTCGCAGGATCTTAACCTGTAAGTAGACGAACACGTCCACAGAGGTGACCCGCTCTGATACCAAATGAAAGTTTGTATGGATACCACAATAGAACAACTTGAGCAATTTCCAAGAAAACTAACTTGCTTTATTAAGAATCACTTAAACAATCTCACTAGATCTGTTTAATCCGATTTACTTTACGTCACAGCTTGACTAGAGACGGACCAATTCTTAATCTACCCAAATCACAAAGGTCGAGACAAGCCTCACCAATTGCTAACACCAGAATCGCAGCTTAGACTCTATAGCTGATAACAATAAAATCCCCAAAATCCGTAACCTAACTAATGAACTCTATCACCAATATATACTAACTCGTATCCTATTGTGATAAGTAGAGATCCTCCCAATATCTTCTTGTTTGTTGGCTAACAAACCTCCTAGAATCTTGGGTCATTATCTTCTAATACGGCTTCCTTGTATTTAGCTCCATGTGTAACACACTCACTAGCTTGTGTGACACATCAGCCTCACGCTCAAAACTCTTGAGCCATCTTGTGTGTGACACAACCTCCTGTCTGCGTAACGCACCAATCATCATGCTCAGAACCTGAGCTTACAGTGGATACGGATGTCAGACGAAATATATAAATATACAGAGCTACCAATTTGCGGGATTCACAGATGGCTCCTTTGGCTAAAATCTCAGCCAATGACCCTCTTCAACCCGAGCTCAAATCTCTCTCCACCTCCATGTTTTAAGAATTTTTTTTATATTAAAATTAAGGTCTGAAGTCCATCTCATTTTGTTTGGTCTAAGCCAGAAGCCCAGTTATATTTTTCTTCTTTCGGCCTAAATTCATTTTAGTTCTCGTAAAATGGGCTTAAACATTCAATTATAGTATCAACTTCTTTTTTTATATGGAAAATCGCATAAAAAACCTCCAAGATGGGAACTAAATATCTTTATCTGCAGAATCTGTATTCTACTATGTTTAGAATACATTATACATATTTGAAATCAGATTCTGCATGTTTTAGATTAATCGTAATGTGTAGAATCCATTGATGTTAGATTAATAGTAATGTGTAGATTTCAATTTCTACAGATTTTAAATTTTTATTAATATGTAGATTCTGATTTCAAATTTTTTTTTGATTATTATTATTTATGTAGAATACGTTTTCTAAACATATTAGATTTCATGAAAAAGTAGATATGATATTCTTTCCAATTCTACTTTCTTTAGAAAAAAATATGAAAGTATAATTTAAACATTTTTTGAACTGAAAAAAAAATACCACTAAGTTTACGTATTTTGTCACTAGTTATAATTTTAGAAAAAAAAATTGTTCATAAAACTATTTATTTGAATTATTTTCAAAAATATTAAAGGGTATTAAAGGTAAAAATGGTACAAAATAAAAATTAGCCGAATTTGACATACAGTAGTTACCATTTTTTGGTCTAAAAAAACTATTTTCTTCTTTTTTTTTCTTTTTATAATTGTTAATTTTTGAGAATTCCTATTTATTTTTTTTGTCCACATTTTCATTATTTTGGAGTTGAGTACAATAGCTAATAAGGCCAAATGATTACATAAGGTTGATTCCTTTGAACCCACTCACTTTTCCTACAGAATCGCTGTTTACGAATATGGATCATTTGTTCTGGAGAGTAATTCCGAAGATGGAAGATCATCAATTTGCTTGGATATTGTGGTACATCTGAAAATGGCGAAATGGTAAATGCTTTAGCAATTTGGATGTTGATCCGAAAGAGACACTTTCTCTGGCTGAGACAGAGTCCACTCTATGGAAGGAGGCTCAACTCAAAATAATTCCGGACACGAATCAACCAGAGAGTGGAATCACTTTACCGACCATTCCTGGGCGCTGGTGTTTTATTGATGCTTCATGGAAGGATAAGGATGAGTTCGATGGACAGGGTTGGTATAGTACTCTCGAAGGTTTTGAAGGTTTAATGGGAGCACGAAATGTCAGGGCAAGTCTTTCACCTCTACATTCGGAGATGGAAGCACTTATATGGGCAATGGAAAGTATGAGGAATTTACGTCAATATTGTGTTACATTTGCAACAGATTGTTCTCAATTGGTGAAGATGGTTTCGGAACCAGATGAATGGCCAGCTTTTGCAAGCTATTTGGAGGATATTACGACGCTTCGAAGGAGTTTCAACAGCTCAACAATCATCCATGTCTCAAGAACTTTGAATTCAAGGGCGGACAGTCTAGCACGTAGTGCAAGGAAACAATCGTCTTTCGTTGTTCACATGGATACCGAGCTGCCCGCTTGGTTTACAGAGTCTAGATGAGTCTGTTTTTGTTTTTGATGTCAAAAAAAAAAAAAAAAAGATTACATAAGGTTGATTTGTGGACCTGATCTTTTTTGCTAACCGATCAGCAGACTGAATAAATGATCTACGCACATGTTGAAAAGGAGAAATTATTTTGATTGGACAGATCCATGATGTCCTGGATAATAGCTGCTGCCGGATTCAAAATCTCCTTCCTTGTTTTGTTTCTGAAACTCCCTCCTAGTGCTTTGTATAATTCCAAACAGTCGCCTATTACCACAACATCTTTGTACCCTAGTCTTGTTGATAGCGCAGCTATTTCTTCTGCCTCCCGTAGGGCTGAGACTTAATATCTGCTATCCGCTATCCGATCCGAGATCCGCTCCGATCCGCTTCCATCCACTCCAAAAAAACGTATTCCGGAGGGTCCGGAACCGGAACTGAATCCGGATATCCGGACTAAAAATTTACTATCTGGATATGGATCTGGGCGACTAAATATTTTAAAATATAATTATATTTATATATAAGTATACTATATATATAGAAAGACTGAAATGGTAATTATTTTATATTTATATATAACAAAGGAAAAATTGATAAAAAAAAGAGATAACAAAGGAAAAGAACATTAGTTTCCATAAATATATTGGTAATATTTATGGAAACAACAGTGTTAGGTAGAAACTTGACGGGCAAGTCTAATCCTTTTGTATTAATGAAGGCTTCATTAAGGGTTTCTTACCTATTCAGTAATTTATAGTCATGTCTCTAATTCTGAACCGGCTCTCGAAGCTATGTCTTGGGAAATCTCGAAGATCAAGTCTTCCTCTACTTCTCTCTAACGGATTCTCATATTCCTCGAGGAAAAAGCAAACCCCTCCCTGTTTTGTCGTCTCAGCTGAACTTTGTGAACCTTATGAAGCATGTCTCGGAAAACTCGTCATTTCAAAGGTTCATAATGACATGATTAATCTGGAAAAGAAGGTACGTCTGGAGTTGCTTTATAATGATATTTTTGATGAAGTGGTAACCATCTGTGCATCTAAGAGCATGTACATCAGAGGATCAACCCAAAGTGAACACGCTTCCCAAAAAAATATATATATTAAAATAGTCTGATTTTGGTGAACCGCGTCGCGCGAGCTCTCTGCGATGACCCGTTGTCATCACTGTTTCATGGGCCCCACACCACGTGGCAACTCACGGTTGGTTCCTTTATTTAAAAAAAAAAATAAACGAAATAATAATAATAATAATAAAAAAAAACACAAGTTGAACTCCCCTCCTCATTAATGTGCTTTCTCTACCGGATGGGTAGCTACTTTGAATAGCGATGACGGAATCCTGCGTCTCCAAGATGTCCTACACCCATATGCATCGTATACAGATCCAAAAAGCATCCCTCTGCCTCCTCTTGTGACTCTTCCACGTTGCCAAACCCAAATCGTCACTAACGTGTCAATGTCCACCTCTTCTCCAGAGGATGAAAACTGTGTTGTTTCTGTCAAGTTCTTGGGACCTCAGCTCAGTTTTTGCAGACCAGATCATAGTAAACCCGCGTGGATCAATGTCAGGATCGATAACTCATGCTTCTTCTCTTCTCGTGTTATGTTTTCCAAGAAAGAGGGCATGTTTCACATTGTAGGATCTGGAGGCCACCTCATGGGGTCATGGGATCTCCAGAATCACAGACACAAGATTATTCAGAGGTTGCGCTTTAAAAACATTCCCGAGTTAACCAAGACCACAAAAGAGCTTATGGATTCGTGCTGCACGTACGAGCATTTGGTGGAGTCAGTAACCACGGGAGAAACTTTCGTGGTTAAGCAGTACAAGAAGACAGTCGAGTTCGATGATGAAGGTGTTGCCAAAACTAGAACAGAATATTTAATGGTGTTCAAACTAGACGGTGAAGGCAACGCGGTTCACACTGAAGACATAGGACATCTTGTCATTTTCCTCTCAATGTCTGAACCTTTTTGTCTCCGGGCTACTTCTTTTCCTGACCTGCTCCCGAACAGCGTTGAAAGCTTGGATTATTGAGAAAATGTAACTGTCGAACTGGCTGACTACTTAGTTATTAGAGGTTTTCGTCCATTCTTGGCCCCTTACCTTATTCCACCACAAAATATAGATTAGTAAATGTTTGTAATAGAGTCAGTTGGTGTTACCACTCATTTGGTGTCATAGATCATAGCTTAACAATCATATTCACTTCTCGATCGTCTTTCTTCTCATGCTAGTGTGGTTTTCATATCGTTTTATATATATATATATATATATATATATATATATATATATATATATATATATATATATATATCATAGTTGCATTGCAATTCTGTTTTCAGAATCTTACAGCTAGTCCATAAAATTTGTATGCAACAAAACTCAAATACAAAAACCTTTAAAATCCTTGAAAGAAAAGGTTGAACCATGTTTTGCTACAATTTTACTTCCTTTTGCTGGCTTGGAACCTAACTAAATGAACATCATCCATTTGGAGGATTCCCCATTTGTCAATCTATAAGTAGAACTAGTAAATACTATATTCCACCACAAAATATAAACTAATAAGCGTTTGCAATTGAGTCTCTTCTCCTTTGATTCTTGACAATTAAATCCAACTACCTTTCAAAAATAGGATTCGGTTCTTGAGATCAGTTGCATCAAAATGAAATTATTAGACATTAACTTATCCCATGATTTTAGATAAATTTGCTTATTTGATATGTTTTAATAATTTTATATATAATAAAAATGAATTTATATTCATAATATTATATTTTTAAAAATTAAGTTAATTCTTTTAATATTAGACTGTTATCTCGAAAATATATTTTTCTACTACAAAATTTAAGTAAATTTACAGATTGATTTGTAACTTATTCGTAATTTAGATAACTTTTCTTATTTGTCATGTTTGTGATAGTTTTATATATATATTTTTCTATGACAAAACGAATTGATTTTAATATTATTATATCTATTGTTACACTATTATTTTCAGATGACAAAAACATATATATGAATTATCTTATTTTCAAAAATTTTTTTTGATAAACATATTATATTAATTATTTTCAGTTATCTAAGATAATAACATACTAATCTAATATTATTTTATACATTTCATTTTTTAATTATATTATAAATTGTATATAAATGTCATTAAGGGTAAAAAAAATATTAACTTCTCTAACTTTTATTGTGAGAGCTTCTTTGCAAAAAATCACTTCGCATAATATAGTATATATATATAATTTTATATTATTTTATAACTTTCTTTTTTATTTTTTCGTAATATAAAAGAGACTTTCCTGATATTATTACAATATTCTATAAGATATCTTATTTTTTAAATATGCATTTATGTGGATAATTATCCTATTAATTTATAATCAATTGACTAATATAATAACATATAAATTTATATCACTAAGATAAAATTCATTTTTAATTAATTTACTTGATTTTTACCCGCACATTCGTGCGGATATTTTATTTTGCATGCAAAATTTTGATGTTATTATAATTTTTTTTAAATATGTAATTTTCATTTCAGTGGTATTTATTGTATAACACTCTTTTGTTTAAATAATATAGACATATTATTTTAGTGAATTGTATACATAGTAGCATCTATCATATTCTTTTATTAAATTTTATACATATAGAATATTTTTTGGAAGTTCGGATCTTAAATTTTTTTTTGTAATTAAATTAAGATATCAAAATATAAGACTACTTTAAATTTTACAGCATTAGTTTGTTTTCAGTGTTACATTTCTAGAAGTTATTCTTTATTCTCTATGATTTTATCTTGTGAAAAATTTGAAATATATTCAAAGCTTGAATATTTATTTTTAAAACTATATATTTTGTCAAAAACAATTTGGAAAATTACACAACTATTTTTAAATTGGAATATTATGACTTTTTAATTTTTTTACTACATAAACACATTATATTTTAAATTAATTATTAGAATTTAATAATTGTACAATAACATATTATTAAACAGTATATGAACTAAAGGTTAGTTATAAACTATTATATTTTGTTTATTTTTAAACAAAATACTATTGAGAATTTCAAATAAAATAAAATAAATATGTAGTTGTAGATATAAAAGTTTAAGATATGTTAATTTTATATAGTTTATGAATTTAACACACCTTAATGATGAGTGATAATTTATTTAAGTGAAAATATTTTAAAATGAAAATAGATCAAATTTACCTATTTATAACTTTGTCATGTTTATAACTTATAGACCTTGTATGTTAATATAATAAAAAATATAAGAGAAAATATAAAAAAGTATATAATATTTATTTTCTTGTTTTATAATAAAGTTTTAATTAAAATTTATTTATAATATTATATTGATAATTATGTAATTAATTATGTATTAATTTAATAAAATTATTTAAAGATATTTTAGAATTTTGTTAGATTCTTTGTCAACAGAATTTGTTACAATTAAACATGAAATTCAAATTTATAGGTTGTTAACTATTAATCTAAATAATAAAGTATGTCATATTAACTAAATCTTTAGTGGTCCAAGTATAACTTGTTATCAATATATAAAAATAACTCTAAATTAATAAGTTAGAAATTAGTATTTTTTTGTAATATATTTCTGAGATTTTAAAATAAATAGAAAGATAATATGTAGTTGTAGTCTTAGATATAAATGATTAACCTATGTTAATAATTTTATTTTTGTATAAAAATATTATAGTGTACGAATTTTAACACATATTCAAGATGAGTTATATTTATTTAAATGAAATTATTTTAAAAGGTCAATTTACCTATTTAATATAATTTTGTTTTATTTAATTCATATAGCACTTCTATTTTAATATATTACAGAATATAATTATAAACTTTATAAAAGTAGGATATATTTTTATTTTTTTTGTTTTATAATAAATATTTAATTACACAATTAATTAATGTGTGATTTTATAAAAATATTTAAATGATTAATACGATTTTGTTGGATTCTTTATCAACATATTTTGTTATAAATAAAATATAAAATTCAAATTTTTAGTTGGTTTATTATTCATTTAACTAATGAAATATGTCATATTAACTAATTCTTTATATGGTCCTAGTATGACTTGTTAAAAGTAGATAAAAAATATAACTATGTTTTAATAGATTAAACTAGATCTCGACCTGCACTACCGTGTATGTTTTCTTTCTATTTCTAGTTTATAAAAAAATTATCAATAAATAATAATATATTTACTTATCAATTCTCGTAAGGTACTAAAATAATAGATGTTAAAGTATCATTTTCAAACACAACTTGAAAATATAAATTATCATTAACAAATATTTATCTATAGTATATCTAGATAAATGTTAAAATGTTTTTTATGCAAATTTCAGAAACTAAAACTCTATATTAAAGAAGATTATATATTAGATTATTTCAGATTTTAATTTATGTATAAAAATCAACAATATATTAGTAAGTAATAACAATCCATGAGAATATAAATTAAAACATATAAAATAAATTACTATATCTATACTATATTAAAAGGGGAATACTCTCCCCTCTCAGCTATGCCACGTCCTCAAATTTAATAGACCAATAGGATTTGAAGAAACGGCCACGTCAACGAGACCTTAGGATTTTGAGTGGGCTTCGTTACCATTTAATTTTGTTTGGTTCTTCACCGTTTGGGCTTCAAATGTTTCTGTATAGTCCATATGAGAAGT